TTTTTCTAAATTCATCAAAGCTCGAGAATATAACTCGACAGCAGCCTAGAAATAAGAAATGGCAAAACATGTCTGCGAAATTCCTAACTTGAAATACTTAAAATATGTAAAGCTGCACCCACTCATATTTTCTCTCAGAGATTCATCATCAGTTACATCGCCTGCTGAACAACGTCGTCGTGCTGATGCAACTGGCGACAACCCACGGCGTAAAACTTTATTCGAAATATTTGAGAAAAAGTCACGAACAGTAGATGATGAACGCCGTTCACGTGGTGCTTTGATCTTAAAAAATAAAATTAGATCTTAAAAAATAAAATTAGTCCCAAATTCCAGCCTTAAAAAATTTAACTAGTGCGATATTTCAAAAAGATAACCTTGCACCATTCAGGGAACTTTCCAGATGGCTGTTTTTCTAGCTTCTTCTCCTTTCGAGTTTCAGCTTTTTGCTTAACTGATGCAGTGGATACTACATTCCTAAAAAATTTCGACTCAAAAAAGATGTTGAATTAAATTTACATATTCATGTAATATAATGTGGTGTTTAGAAATAAACGTAAGCATATTAAAATACGGTACACCTCATTCTTTCTCGAGATTAGAATCAAAAACAAATTCTCACCTAGATGATGGTTTGGCAGAAACACTGCGCATTCCGACGTATCCGATGAATCTTCCTTTGAAAATTTTCTGCGAAACATCAGAAGGACGACGTGATGCCAAATAATAATCACGCGGCACACCAATTTTATGCGCATTATCAATCAGATCAACGATAATTGTAATACGAAGTTCATTTTCATTTCTTACATTCGAGATCAAATCTTCCTGAAGATGATTCGTACATTTGTCGAGTGGACCAAGCTTAACATCCCAACTACTGACATGCTTGAACTAGCATTTTTATAAACTTTATTCGAGAAACAGGACAAAGAACATGCCTGAGATCCCCTCTTTCTTCTGTTAGGTGCAAGTGGTGGATCGTCTCGGAAAAGAGATGGAGCAAAGACTCGTGCAATGTTTTCAACTGTCATCTGATGACCCTCATGCCGATCTCCAAACTAAAATTTTCTGATAAAAACGGGTTCAAAATTTGTTTTATGAAACAAATTGTTGCTAGATTTAAATATTGAAGATCTGAAAAAAACTGCAATCAATTATCTCAGATTAAAACTGTTCAGAAGCCGACATTGTGTCCGAAACATTAATATGGGAAAATTTCAGTTAAAATTTAACAATGTTCAGTTCTACCATAAAGATCCCAAAAATGAATTCCTTCTAGAATTCTCACTGACTAATTTCCTAAAATTTCTTTATATATTCAAAATAGGAAGCAAAGAAAGCTAACATATTTTAATTGTCGCATTAAAAAAATTAATGTTGCCAGATGTTCCGCAGGCAACATTCGTACAGTCTCTAGAAGCTTGTCGATACGTTGAGCTCCGTCATAAATTGATGCAGCCTATAGAATTAGGACGTTTTTTTTACAAAGTAATGGACATTTACTGCTGCATATAATTATGCTTAAAAGATGTGCAAATTATGCATATGAACAGAAAAAAATTGCAAATTTTCATCAGCAAGCATTTTTTGCTTATATTCACTACTTCTGAACCACTTTTTCCATTAAACTTACATCCAACAGTTGTGCTTGCATCTGAGCAAAGAGAGGTACTTTCAATTCTCGAAAAAATCGTTTAATAAGTGAACATACATCGTGTGTGGTGCAATCTTCCGGCAATACTACACTACCAAAGAAGGTTTGCATCTAAAAAGTATGAGTTGAAGGACAAGATTTATTCTTTTAAAACAAATGAATTATAATTTAATTCGATTACTGATATGTTCTAATATAAAATCTGCAATATTCAGGAAACAAAATATACCGAAAAAGATTTGAGTCGACTAATGTTCCCTTCTTTTCGAAAAATTCCACTGGCGTCGAGACCGTTAAGACGAAGGAAATTGAATGCATCGACGAGAAAACTTAAAACTTAACAAATTATTAAGCGAAAATTGAAGCAGTTAGGAATCCATTAGATGCAAAGAAAGAACGAAAAGAAGTTTGACATACACAGGAACTCCGCGAAGAGTGAAAGTACTGAACCCACGCCGATCTCCCACATCTAATTCCATAGTATAGCTAGCAACATTTTCCAACCTTAATTAACATAAAAATATGAAGAAAAATTAATTTGATTTTAATGTTTTAAATAATGCAGAGTGTAATTAAAGTCAATAGTAAAAAAAAAGTTTTTCTTTTCTATAAATTTAAGTTGAATACTATTTCCCAATTGCCATGTTCAAAAACCTAAATGAACTAACGTGAACTGATGTGGACCAGAAGTGGCAGGCAATGTATTAGCCTGGCGATACAAACGCATACTACGTAAACCATCCAAATATTTATCCATAACTGTGATATGCTGAATTGCAATACGATTTCTTAAGATTGCAGTTGTGCCTTTTTTCTTTTGCTCTTTGCCAGGTCAACAAACTCTCTGGCAGACACTACCGTTTCTAATAACAAATTGTTTGTAAAATTTCCAGTTCATGAATACTATAAAGATAGTCATTAATTTCAGAAAAGCGAGTCCAAGGCTATAACAAATACAATGTTCTAAGCAAGTATAGAGTTTTCGGCTTCTCATGTACGGCCAGTTATTCTATGCGATAATTAAGACACACAATTTATAGAAAATCTAAATGCAAAGAGTTGAAAATTCAGTTCGCAATAAAATGACCGACTACCCATATTACGCAAATGAGAAAATGAACTGTGCATGTTTTGAAGGAGTTATACATTTGATATTTGCTTAGAAAAATAATGAACAAAACTCCTAACATTTTTGATATGAACACATATCAGATGCTTTGCTTGAATTGCGACACTAAATAACTTACACAATTGCTCAGTACAAATTTTTGCGTTTGATTAGACATTCATTGTTTCAAAAAAGTAAATTTCACTGAAGTAGCATTTGCATATTCATCTATGAGAACTTCATAATGTCAATTCAAGCCCAGACTAAGTTGAAAAATAGCAAACTACGTAACGAAACAACAAATACTAAACCATGATCTGACTTGTCGAGAAAAAATTTCAATGGTGACACTGTTACTGAATGGTCCATCGCTACTGTTTTACATAAAATCCTTCCAGTGCTCTAGGATGTACGATATGTTAGTAATGTTAGATGCAGTTCATTTTAGGCTATGTAATTTACCAAATAATATCCTAAAACATTGCTCCAAATCCACTGAAACGTAATTCGATGAAACTTCAACCAAACTTTTGATTCATTTCATTATTATTGAAATATATACATACTGAATATATTTCAACAATTATAAAACGAATCACAATTTTGAGAACAAATTACAGTATAGTACTCACTAGCTATATTTACTTTTAAAATGATTTAAAGAGGTTCTTCACAGGCATTTACAGATAATTCTTAAATTGTATCAGCACGCAAAATTAATTATTAGAACAAAAATAGCAGTCTGTAAAAGTAGTGGAAAAACATGATTAACAGTCTTGTGATCAGATATCTATTTGAGTGCATGTTAGTGCTTTGTTTTAATTAGCAACAGGAAACCAGTTAAAACATTTCGGACATAATAATAGACGATCATACCGGACTTCTAGTGCACGTTAAATAATACTGCGAAATGCATTAGCTGTAACCAATGAAAAATAAAAACTTCAAGAAGAAATTAAAGTACATAACAGTAAAAGTATAGTTTTCCTGCTCTCTCATTCTCTTATTTAAGGAAGCCTTCTGATATCATCATTCTGTAAAACAATTAGCATTGCCTGCAATGTCTGCTTCGTGAACATTAACAAAACGACAACAACGAAATATCGCGTGAAATGAGTCATACATACTGTTGTATACGCTACTATTTCCAAGGAAAGTTTCTAAAAAAAAGAGCTTTAAATAAAAGAACTAAAATGAGTAGAGCGAATTACAGTCTCATAATTGTTCCTTTTTTCCTCTAACGACTTATAAACTCGTATCTGATAATATGATGCTAAATAATACATCATTACAACATTAGCATTATAATGAATATGGCAGTTCACTATCAGATAAGATGAAGTTACATGCAATACTTAGAAGATATATTTAGCAGAAGATATATTTATTGATATGAAATCAATAATCAACGGAAATTGATTTGACTTTATAGTTAATCGCCATCCTGATAATATCACACTATGACCATAACTTACAAAAAGAGCATATAGCCTTCCACGCAAGATAACATGCTACTTTAAGAATTGACAAGGAAGAAAAAACTTAACGAATTACATTAACTCTAGTAAAATTCCAAAAACCGTATCGGTAGTTTGCGTATATTCCATTGTTTACGTATATAAATATGTATCAGATAGCTATTTCATTGCTTACATATTCTCTTTGAAACGTAAGCTTTTCGAAAATATTATATTTAACGAGAATTAACAAATGTTTACATGCAAAAATTAAAAGTTTTGTTCTAGTAATTCAAGAATTCACGTGATGATGAAGATAGAAGCCGCTCGATATATTCGCGTCCATACTCATTCTCATTTCTATTTACGCGACATCCATACGATACAAAAGATTCTTATGAAAATATCCAAAGAGAAAACAAACGGAAATGAATGAAACAACCACCTCACACATTCATACCATCCCGCATTCACCCTCAACCAATTTCAAACAAAAAAATTCAAAAATCCCGCTAAGATAAATTTTAAAAAGAAGCAACATAACAGCTATATATCAGGGATGGTTACTGTAATGCGTTGTGAGATTTGTACGCTGTGAACTGACTGAAATGACGGTTGATGTTGGGAGTTGGAGTGAGAGGAGATTGATGGATGGAATCAATCTGAGTGGATTCTGAATTCTCTTTCTCCAAATAATGAATTTTGAATTCCATTCCGTTCAAATTCAGAAACTGATTTATGAAATTTAGAAGTTTATCTCTACATTGATACGGTTATCTCAATTGAGTATTCCTACACAGACTTGTTTTAGCTGGTATATCAAATATTGAAATCGTTCTTTCCAAAGTAATGCGAATGAAAATGAAAGTCAATTTCCATATTTCCGTGATGTTTTCCATAGCCTTAACTGATGATAAATAGCGTATTATCCAATAGATGGATAAGAATGATTGGATGATGGCCAATCAGCATAAGATGACCATCGTCCATTCGTCTCCTTCTATTCCTCTTTCATTAACCGGAGCTGTTTGTACTTCGAAATGTTTAATCAAATATTGCAACAGTTTTTTTCTCCAAAATTTTCATGCTAATGAAACCCATACTTTCTTTCTCCCTCTCTTTCTCCCTCTCTTTCTCCCTCTCTTTCTCCCTCTCTTTCTCCCTCTCTTTCTCCCTCTCTTTCTCCCTCTCTTTCTCCCTCTCTTTCTCCCTCTCTTTCTCCCTCTCTTTCTCCCTCTCTTTCTCCCTCTCTTTCTCCCTCTCTTTCTCCCTCTCTTTCTCCCTCTCTCCATCCCTTTCTCTCCTCTCTCTTCCTAACCAAAATTTAATCATCATTGCTATTTTTGCTTCGAATGGAGAAATTTCGATGGTAAAAGTTCTCCATTACTGATACGATGAAGCAGAGTTGTGATCTCACGCTTGTCCATCTCGAATTTCTTTATGCTAAGAATGTCATTTTGAAGACGTGAACAAAATGAAATTGTAATTCTGATCAGAAGAAAAATAATATCAGTCTTCATCTTTTATACTTGGCTGATCTATGAGAAATTGGAAGGAATGTATATTAATTACTTCGCAATTTACGAAAAAAAAAATGGATCGATAATAAAATTAATTAACAAAATTGGAATTGATAGTTTCGTAACGAAATAAAAATCAAAAGTAAATGTAAAAGGAGGACAGTGTGGAAGTTTTAATGCAGTTTTAAAAAAAAAATAGAAAATATTAAAAGCTCTGAATTTTAGGTAAATCTCAATTGAAAAAGATAGGAATAAAATATAAGAAAATGGATGGAGCAAGAGGAGAAAGAGATGAAATCAAATCTGTATGATTCATCAAAAATTTCATTTTTTTGAGACGAAAAACATTCTCATCTGCTGAAAATGTCTTCATATCCTATTCCTAACCCTCATTTCAAATGCATTTTTTGCATTTTTTTTTTCAAATCTAACATTCATATTTTTGCTTCTTTTATTTGTCATACCAAAAACTAAAATGAAGAAATTAAGAAACAAATGAAGTGATGATGATGATGGAAAGTAATATAAATAATGAACTGAAATTTTCAAAATTAATCATTCAGGCATGATTCAATTTATGCATATTTCTTTGATTGTTTAAATGTTTGAGTGATTTATATAATGCCATAAATGTGTAATCTACCAAAAAATCTAACCTTCTCCCATTTATGGATATCTCAGCATGGTTAATTATCCGATCCTACCAGCGCACATCTATCGAATTGTCATTTCAATAACTAATTTTATGAAATCTTTTTCCATCGAAATTCATAATTTCTCTTGTGTCATCCATCAGATTTCATAAATGAACTTTTTAATCGACTATTTATTGTCTGATAATTTGATTCGTAAATTAATTGAGTGCAAACGCCATGCATCCTCAGTTTCTGATTTCTTTTTCTTTTTCGTTTAATTTCATCTTTTTAGAAATTTCGTAAAATACAAAAGTTTTTCAGAGTAACAAAGAAAAAAGTGCATGAAAAAGACCAGGCAGTTTTGCGATATAATTTTTCATCAGAGAATTTTGCATTTTCTATTTCAACAACAATTAATTGTTATTGAGGTAGAAATCCCAGTTTTTTTTTTGAGAGAGAGAAAATTTATGAAAATTTACCATCTGAAAGGAAATTTTTGAATGAAACTCTAGTTTGAAAATGATCAATTACTTTTTAGATTCATATCTTGCATGGGAGAGAGAAGGAGATTCAAAATTTCATGATAAATGAAAATGGATAAAGTTAATCTGAAGTTACTGTATCAAATCTTTTCTCTAATTGAAGATATTCGATCTTCAAAATCAACCAATGAAAAAGTAAAAAATCCGAAACGATATTATGAAATTTAAGAAAAATTGGTTTCAATGATAACTCTACGAATAATTTAAGCATACAATGCACAGAGACTTTATTAAGTTTAATTTTTAATGAAAGCTTAAATTGCAGAAACGAACAGCTATGGAATCGATACCAAAAGGATTGGATGGGGGGATGTCAGCAAATTGAGTGAATATTACGGAATGCAAAATTTTTTCTTAAATCCAAAATAATTAGTCTCTGCATACTATATGCTTAAATTGGCAACAGAATTTAATCCTGAATTGTAGCCAGTAAAATAAGCTGAAAAAGTATTTCGTTAAATTTTTGACAATTGAAAAAAGCATTAGTGAAATAAA